AAAAAAAAAAAAAAAAAAAAAAACTAAATCCAGAAGTATGTTCAGAAGAAAATTCCGCAAAAGAGACTGCAGGGGGTTTAAATTTAATTGAAAATGAGGGAGAATGGTGTATTTCTTCCAAGTTTGGCCAAGGTAAGAGGTAAGGCTACACAGGGGTTGTGTATCATAGAATGGAACAAGCAAAGAGGACAGGCTTCAAAATGATGCTGATGCAGTATGGCTATTCTAAACTACATCATTATGCAAACGTGTTCCAGAGACCAAGTTGATAACTGTCACGGTGCCATTTAACAAAATTAGAATAGTTTTGCCTAATAAGATAGGAATCTGGTATCCAGTGTTCAAAATGCCTCTTACTAAAATGTCATAAGCAACAGACATCTTCCTACAGTTCCAAGTTTAGAGTTTAAACAGTAATTAGTTGCTTTATTATGCCAGATATTATAATGAAATTTATAGAGGAGAAACGAGGGCATGTATAAATAAGAGGAAAGGCAAAATAACCGTGGATACGACCCGCAACACAAATATGACAGGAATACAACAAACTTAAAAAATTATAGGACATGACATGGATCTAATACAACATAAAAAAAATTACACAAAAATCAACATAAAATAAAATTTTAAAATTACAAGAGAGAATTAATATTTTAAAAAGAAAATGACACATTAATGTTAAAATTATCTAATCAATGTAGTATTTGAAGCAGTATTGGATAAAAAAACTTAAAAATACAAGTAGAAAAATTATAAAAATGCAACTAGAAGTATTGAAAGTGTTTGGGTAGTATCCGACAGGGACACGTCTGACATGGACACAAATCTGACGCAGTTACGACTAATGACATGATACGGCTACCATCTAGAAGTGTACTTCTTAGAGGACAGGACATTGTTCAAAATAAAAACACAAGAAACATAACATTCGTTATGTAGGTATAAAAGTGAAAAGAACAAGTTAAACATGAAAAAAACTCGTGAATACAGGAAGCTGTTTAATCTCTCTATCATGTCAGAAATCAGGAATGGCAACTCCTTGAAAAAGTCCATGGCAGACCACCAAAGAAAAGCCACAAGAAAAGGAAAAAAAAAAAAAACCTATCCTGTAGCAAGTATATGTGCAGATAGATTAGAGATATTTCAAAGTTCAAATTCCATATTATATTACTTATGCAGTTAACCTATGCCAATGAGAGAGTCCCCATCGCATTGTCTATTAGAACAGGACAGGGTTTTCAGCTATTCACTTTGACAAAACACAAAGTTGTTAACAAAGGAACTACAAGTAAAGAAGTCGTGTACCACAGTTGAAAACTAACAGAAGTTACAAAAAAGTTGAATGGAAAAATATGATTTTAAAAAATGGATCGTTTTTTTAGCATTGCCAGTAATGGTTTGCAAGTAATACATGACTATGACTTTTTCTTCTTGGGATAAGAGACTGTCGATTATGATAAACCTACCTCCATTAACAACACAGCCACTTGATAACATAAAATGAAATTATTAAAAAGATCCAACAGATTTCATTAGAATTGATCCACGTCCACATGCCTCAATTACATTGATATTTAATATGCACTATTGGGTGGGGGTGTCACACTGTCACATATAGCATCACAGGCACAATTACAGTCATTTACTATGGAAATTGAAAACGTGATTTAACCTTGTAAAATAATGAGTAGAATTTTATGCAGAGAACAAAACTGCTTCTTCTTCACCTCTTTCTAAATTATTAAGAGAATGGCATCTATAAAACTGAGATCTCATCTTATGTAAATGAAATGTGAGAAATCTATCAGTTGAATGCTATGCACAAAAACAGAACAATTGCAATCAAGTTCACAAAAGACACAAAACAAAAGTAAAAAAAAAAAAAAAAAAATCAAATTCTGGGGTGACGATTAGAGGATGCAATGAAACTTTCCATTCGGTTTAGGAATTGAAAAAACAACCAGGAGGTGAAAACCGAATGATTTAAAGCTAAATCACAACATAGAGGTTTAAGCTTGGAGCAAAACTAGGGTTTAACAAAAGCAGCAACAAAATCAGGAGGTGACAAGCAAAACAATTCATAAAGAGCGGAATAGAGAAGTGTACCTGTAATGGTGCCGTGAACAACTGTACCGTTCTTAAGCTCGATCGATACAGTTTCGTTGTTCAACTTCATGAGAAACCTGTTCGAGTTTTAGACGCATTTTAGCCTCAATTGAAAGAAAAAGAGTAACAAAAAAAACAAAGGAAAGCGGAATGTGAATGAAGAAGTGAGACCTGACGAGCTTCATGGTGAAGGCAGGGTTTTCACACACACAGTACTCGCTGGTCGCGGCACCACCGACCCGTTTGTTTTAGATTTTGAGCCAAAACAAAACAGCTACAACAGCGTTTGAAAGTTAAATGCTCTTCACCCTTTTACTATTTTATAAATAAAATGTTAAATAAAAATAAATATATTTAGACAGTATTTGGGATACATTATAGGGAAAATTCCATCCACCTCCTTATCTCTGTTTAAATAACAATGTTTTTGTCTGATTTTTATAATTTACTCACTTCTTTTAAAATAATTAAAGTTATGGATTAAAGTGAGAGAAGGAAAAAAAATATAAAAAAATTAATACATATCTGATCAATTATATATAATATTTTGTCTTTTTTATAAATTTTTTATTATTATTTTATTTTAAAAATAATTATTTCTTAGTTCATTTTTTAAAATTGTTCTTTGAAGTTAATATATTTTTTAGCTTACAATTCACATGATATTTAATATATAATTTGAGAGTTAAAATTGGGTAAATCTTATTCAATTGTTAATATTTTTATTAATAATTTATTCTCTTTTATTAATGTATAAATGGTATTATCGTATATATAAAAAGTTATAAGTACCATTTAGATAAATAAATAAATAAAAGTTAATATGTACTTAAAAATTAAAAGAGATGTATGTCATTTTAGAAACCTAAGAAGAGATCAGTGCAAATCTCTCTAGATTATAATATCCAATTTAAGTTGTTTTTTTTAAATCTGTTTTTTAAAATATAAAATATGTGTTTGAGACAATGATTTAAATTTGTAATTTTTTTTAAATAAGTTATTATTATAAAGCTGAAAATTTAAAACTTATAATTATTATCCAACCAAAATTTTATTTAAATTATAATCAATTATAGCAACAATTGATTATTCATATAATTAGTTTTTAAAATAGTCTAATTTTTATAACTTTCTCAAACATACACATATTTTTAATATATAAAAGATATTTTTCCCCCGCTTGTTATGCTATAGAGGATTGACAAGAAAAAAAATGAAATTTTGAAATATTTGATAGTCATGACGAAATAATGAATAAAAAAATATATGACAAAATAATTTATAAGTTTAATACATCACTATATTTATCATATTTTTTATATTTTTTAATTAAGTTCCTAATTAATATATATATATATATATATGTGTGAGGATTATAATAGTACCGATATAACTTTTATTAAGTATTATACAATTCAATAATTTTATATTAAATATGAATTTTGTAAATTTAACTGTTAGATTAAAGTTTATATCACTTTATATGTTTATATCAAATTTTGTTAAAATTGAACAATAACTTTAAGGTAATTAAAATGTTTATATTTTAGTATATTTTAAAATATAAATATTACGTTAATTTTATTTTATAATAATGAAGTATCAAATCATCTATAATTAATATAAACTTTTGTATATGCTTATAAAGTCACAATAAAAGTAAGAGTATGAGTATTAATGATAAAGATTAAGATACTAACAAGGCTAAGAAAATTAAGCCTAATACCTATGAGATATGAAATTATCATGAAAAGGTTGGTTTAAATGATAGGGTGGATAAATGCAAATGTAATGGTTAAAAAAATTTAAAATATAATTTTTTTAACTAGATCAATTTAGTCCACTAGCCTAATGTCACCACATGGGTTAGGTTGAGTAAAAAAAATGGTAGTCTAAAATAAATTAACTTGAAATAACATTTGGTCCTTACAAGTTAGGTTGGGTCAAGCTGACCCAACTTATTTGATACATCTAATCATATTTGATACACATATTCACAGAGGGAGAGAGACATATGTAAATATACATAAACATACATATACGTCATATAATTTGCAAGTACATGCTTAATGGATATCTATAAGGTGGGTATGCAATGTTTGTCTAGTGGGGCAAGAATGAGGGCCTACTACCCACCCCATGAGATCACATTGTCATCTCTTGTTGCAAGTTTATTTGTAATGTATTATCATTATTGATTTATTTTTCACTAAGTAGTGGTCTCTAAGTATAACTTATAAAATCATATAAATGTATTGAACATTTAATAATCTTTTAACAAACGTGTGTTTCATGATTTATTATTTATACCATTAGGTATTGGAAATGGAATCGTTTGTAATATTCAAGTATTTATGAAAAGCAACATTTTTTCGATTCATCTAAGGCACCAAAATACTTGGGGCTAACCTTGTTCTTAATAGTCGTGATTTTGTGATGGTCTTTAAGCAAAGTATTGAAAAGCCCTAAACAATAAACAAGATTAAAGGAAATGACTATTAAATAAAGGAAGTTTCATTCATTTGGTTGTAGACATTGTTTACAGCTTTTGTTTTACAATTTATACTAACATATTCCATGATTGTTAAGTTAAATGAATAACCGTCCACTACTGATAACCTATTTTAGGCACAATATTATGTGTCATTTTTAGTTGTTAACCATATTAAACACGATAAAGTCATCCATTGTTTTATTAAAAACAATTGTCTATAATCAAGTGAAATTGATTAATGATTTTGGTGTCAACAATAGATAATAACAATATTATTATTGTTTGTTATAAATACATCATAAAATACCATAAATAACCTTATTTTGTGCCAAAAAATAAATTCACCAACTATATTTCTTTATCTATATCTATTCATGTCCATGTACATGAAAAAATGAAATATCTATTTTCTTTATACATATATCTTTGAATTATTTTAATCTATATAACTATCTTAAATCATTTGAACCCTCTAATTACAAACTATCAACAATTATTTAATCTTTATTTTTTACTTTTTAATAAATATAAAGATACATTTTATGTCTCTTTTTCCCTGGTTACAATAAAGATATGTAATTATATTTTATTAAAAAATAATAACAATTATACAAAATCATGGTTAAATAGTCATTATTTTATACGAGTAGATTCTTAAAAAAAAAATTGTCACTTTCTCTCTTGACTTTGTGATTTATGAAATCTTGTAAAATTCTCACAGTAAGAGATCAAATATAATACAAGTTCAAAGTAAATAAATAAACACTATTTTATAATAATAATAATAATTTATTCTAAAATAATATTACTAATTTCTCTCAACTTTGTGGTTTTCGATAACTTTTCTAATTTATAACATTAATAAAGTGATACTCTAATTTAGTATTTATATTCTTTTATACCTTTTTCTCTTCTTAATTAATTTACTTAACTATTCCACTTTTTTTTAAGTTAATTAAATAATTTTTTCCCTTTATTTTATAGTGAACACATGAAGTGTTTTTTTTTACTAATCACCATATCACCTATTCAAACATGGAAAAACTATTGTGAAACATTCAACTGAGATATTTTAAAATACTTTTTTTAAATATATTTTTGACAACTAGAGTATATTTTTTATTATTATAAATTAAATGTTTATTCTATATGTTACATAGTCTAAAATTATTATTAAATAAATTTAATTTATATATTTTAATATTAATTTGATTTATTAAAATATTATAAAATAAATTTAATTTATTTTGTAAAATTATTATAAATCGTTGTTATAAGTTTGATTGGTCAAAAATTGAGTTATAATTAATCGAAATTTTAGTCATAATCAATTAGAAATTGAGTCATTACGGATCATAATTTTAATTATGATCGATCAAAAATTGAGATAGATAAAAAAATATAATTTTTTTTAATTTTTTTTAATAAACTATTTTGTTTTTCAAATGAAAATCATTAGTAAATAAGTGTACATTATATTTTTATTATAAATAAAAATCTTCGTTAAATAACTATAAATTATACAATTACTTTTAAAGTTATTATCATTATTGTTTTTACAATAAATAGAGGCTGCCTGGACCCACCCGTAAATATAAACACAATTCGAATCGTATCCTAGCAATAAATACTGAGTCAAATATCATTCAGCAAAACACACAAATAAATAAATAAGGAAACAAAATAACTGCACCAAAAACAAAATATAACTGCACAAATAAAAAAGGTGAAAAAAATAAAATAAAAGAGCGATAAAGGAGAGGTGGCTATGTCGATTCCCCACGGGGCGAAGACCAGGATATGTATGGTGGCGCACAACATAACAGATCTTTAAACTCTTCTCCTTCGAATATCGATTCTCCCTTTCTTCTTCCAACAAAAACCCTAAACCAGATTCTTCACCACCTCACTCTCCTACTCTTTCTCAATCCATGAGCTATCACGCGGTAATCGTTTTCCACACCAATAATCGTATTTTCGTTTTCACTTCGCTACTCGTTCCTTCTCTTCTGTTACTCGCAACTTCAATCTAGGTTTACCAATATCACCACTGTTCACAATTAGTATGAAATCAACGCTGATGAAATATTCAACTTATTTCTTCTCTTCCTATAATCGAAGACACCGAGTTTTCTCTCTGTTTTTTGTTTTGTTGCTGGATTATCACTCATATATGTAATGTATCATGTGATGTCACGTTTTCGAAATTTAATACAAACGCTTTTTTAAATTCAGTGGCTCATGAATCCACCACGATTATGTTTTGCGCCTTCTAATTTTTGCGATAATCTGTCTTGAAGCATGGTGGATTGACAATTTACTCCTGAAAGTGTTTTAGGGTGACGTTTTGGTGTTTTGTCTTGTTACAATGAACTTCACTGTACGAAATTCCTGCACCTCTTGCTTCGTCTCGTGTATACGTGGAAGCATAGATATTGCTGTTAGTTATACTTGTTGAACTCGGTTTACTCCTGCCAATTCTGTGTTACGCATTTTATTAGATGATTGTTGAATTGTGTATCTTCTGTCGTTTTTATTGAGATAGCTCCTATGCTGTTTCTCATTATTATGAGTTCTTTATGCAGCAGAATAATGATGATACGCACAGAGGTTTGAAAAGAAAGCCCGAATATATGGATCGGGGGCAAGAACGGCGTCCATATAATACGAATTCTAGACCTTATGATAGGAACGCGCTTCCTGATGGTGGGTTCTTGTTTTATTTATTTATTTTATATACAATACACATGGGTTCATTTGTCAATTATAGACTATTACCTTGTGCAGATATTGCTCGTACTTTAATCTCATTGTTGAGCATGAACGTTGGATTATTCTTTCATTTTCTGTTTTGAATTTAGGAATTTAACTAAAAAATTAAGGACTTGCTGTAAATGAATGAAGCGGTAAGTTACTTTTGGCATTCGAGGGTTCTTTCTTTCCTGCACAAGCAAGAGTTATTGTGTTTTGGTTCAACTTATTTTTGTGAAATAATTTTTTTTCTCATAAGTTTCATGAAAGAGCTTTTTTTCTTTTTATAAAAAAAAGAATGATTATATTCCCTGAAAAAAGCTATACCAAATGTGGGCTTTATATGGACGATGATTGTGTATGTTAAACAATGTTGATAAATGGCGGTGCGCCGAAAGTTGATAAGAACCTTGGGAGAATCACACCACAAAAGGTAGCTATTATAGTTGGAGAGTCCAAAGCCTTATTCAAAATTCCTTATAATAAACCCCACACTAGAATCCCATCATTCCAATGTGAGACTCAATTTCCATATCTTGCAATTGGATTCTAACATTCCACCATACTTTGCAATCCCGATGCTCAAGCGGCCTGGCTTTGTACTAGCCCTTGGCAAACACTGCAATGCTGGTGTCACCACCCGCACCCCTTGGGGGAATCACACCACAAAAGCTAGCTATTGTAGTTGGAGAGCCCAAAGCCTTATGAATCCCACACTAAAATCCCATACTTGCAATGTAGTACTCAAGTCTCATACCTTGCAATTTGTGTAGGGAGGCCCACTATGGTGGCACCATAGGCCACAATTGTTTATATGGCAGAATTTTGGCCGTACACCATATTCCTCCTTCCGCCATTAATAAAACTGATGTTAAATGTCTCACTTTTTCAATATAGGTAAGTTATTCTGTGGAATTGAACTATATGCTGTTGGAATTGTGATAAACGGGTATAGTTCGTTGTCTTCATCATAAACTAATACTTTATCTTTTAGCTATCATTTTTCTGCTCCGAAAATTTAAGTTGATTACATCCTTATTGCATGATGAATTGAAGACCTTTAACTAATTTTCCATTTTCTTTTTGTTGCTTTACTATTTTGTGTTATTTTTTTATAGATTTTTATTTTTAGTTGATCCTATCCAGGTTGGTTAGACTGCCCAGCGCAAGGGCAAGAACTAGGATGCATAATCCCTTCAAAGGTTCCACTTGGTGAATCCTTCAATGATCGCATTCCAAGTCAAAAATATACTCCCAAGCAAGCAATTCTTCAACAAAGAGCCTTAGGTAGAGAAGTAAGTACATCAAATGCACAGCAACCATCAATTTACTCAGATTAATATGCTCTGCTTTGGGGAGACCAATATATGTTTTTCTGAGTACATACAGGGAGATATTAGTAGATAGTAGATTGGTGTGCACAAGCTGCTGATATAAATAGTTTAGTCATAGGATGGTTTTGTTAAATCTTTTGGGGTGGCTTTTCGTCATATTTTTATGTGACTAATCTTTTTATAACATTTTCTTTTATTACTTCAAAACCTTTTAAGGAACTTGTTCAGTTGTTTATATGTCACAGACACAGTCAATGTAATGAGCTTTTGGTGTTCCTAGGGAACTTTTATTAACAAAAGACGGCTTAGATTGCAGTTTAGAATTTGGGAAAGAAGATGTTGAAACAAGAAGAATGAGGATAATGTGTTTATATTTTGTTTTTGTTAATAAGCAGAAAGATGAGTAATCACAGAAAGGTCCTAATTTGCAACATTGTTGGGGCTTTTACATGTTCTATCTGTTACCTGAATAGCTGAACTAAAGATTGAGGGAATAAAATACCAATTTCATGAATACTTGTTTGCTTCGTAGTGTTGTATACAAATTTGTTGCAACCAGCATCATAGTGCTTAACTCTATTTTGCAGCTTGGTTTAGTGATTGATCTGACAAATACTACACGTTACTATCCTGTATCAGATTGGACAAAAGAAGGGATTGGCCATGTCAAGGTAACATATTATCTTTCATCCTGTTGTTTATTAAGTGGTATTTGCAATTGAATTTAGATTTTTGATTTGCTTGTGGCAGATAAGGTGCAAAGGAAGAGATGCTGTACCTGATGATGAATCTGTAAAAGAATTTTGTGATGAGGTAGCTTTGATTTGTATTGTTGATAGTGTTCACTGTACAGTTCATGAGCATTACTTCTACTCATTCTTTTGATTAATGCTCACAATTTCATTGTCAAGTATTGTCTTGTATGTGTTCCTAGCAATGGTGATACAGTTCTTGATATCTTACTTGAGGTTTTATGATTTATACTTGTTAGATATTCATTTTAGGTTATGGAATTTTGCTCCCAAAGAACAAATGCAAAGAAATATATACTTGTACATTGCACACATGGGCATAATCGTACAGGTTATATGATTGTTCACTTCCTTGTGCGTACGGAATCTATGTCTGTTACTGAGGTGAGTAAAATTATAGGGCAGTTCATGTTTATTTTCAATACCTGCAGGACTCCCGGTAATTGATGTGTTATGCAATTTTGTGCTTGTTATCTTCAAGGCAATAAATAAATTTGCTGGGGCCCGTCACCCAGGAATTTACAAGCAAGACTACATTGATGCCCTTTACATGTTTTATCATGAAAAGAAGCCTGAAGATCTTATTTGTCCTCTAACTCCTGAGTGGAAGAGACATTGTGATCCTGATTTTCGTGGCACAGCTGTTCCAGCTGTTGTGGACAATTATGGACACATTCCTGAACAGGTATGTCTGCCTTGTTGTCCCAGTTTATTTAGCTTCTAAGTGTATACGATTTGTCATGCTGCCACTGGGTTGAATACTTTACTTGGATGGATGCTATGTATGTAACTTACTTTCAACAAGTTTGTATGAGCATGAGTCTGCCTGTTAGTTATGCTTGATTTAATTTTTGTTGAGAAGTATATGTGATATGTTCTGAAATTAGAATTGACTGCACCCATTGCATCTTTCTGTTTTCTTTGTTGATACTTGGATGTATACACTGATAAAAGAACTTTTTATTTGCTTTGATATAGAATTTTGGGATTTCTGTTTATTTTCCATGAATCTAAACAAATTATGAAATTTTTTTATTGTTACAGAAAATAATTGTATTTTATTTTGTCATTGTCATCTTCCATGGCCTTATTGTGTGTACATGTTATGTTATCCCTTTTATGTGGCTTGTATTTTGTTATGCAGTTTTCTAAATACCAGTCTATGAGATTAATATGTGGTCACATTAATATTGAATTGTTTTTTTCATACCACTTTCATTTATTTGCTTAAGTTTGTGTGCTCTGTTGAAATAGTAATATGAATTTTTTTAAGAACCTTAAATTTGTTCTGTTTATTTATGGGAGTTATATATTTATGTTTGGTTTGATCTTCTAGGAGAATATTGTGAGGAATAAAGTATTGTCAAGTGATGATGTTTTGGGAGATCCAATTCCTCCAAACCAGCTGCGTGCAATGCAAGAAGCTTGCTATCAACTGCTCAAGTTGGGGACCGGGGTGGGTTTCTGAATTGGCCTTTTGTTGATTTCTATATATTTTTCTCGAATACTATTTAAACTCAACATATTAAATGAATTCATGCATCACATGTATGATTTAGTTTTCATAGGAAGTACTTTAAATGCACAATCAATTAATTTCACTTAAGTCATACTTATCTCTCTATTTATATCTTCCATCTACCCCTAGAGTCAACCTAACCCTATGAATTTACACAAATAAAGTCATGCATATCTAGTGCAATGGGTTGTATTTGATGCATCTCAATAAAATTCCTAGAGAAGTTTGAAACCAAATAAATATTTGATTTGGAAACATTAGTTTGTTATTAATAATAAAATTATTCCATGAATTAATTACATTATTTTATCTCTTTTTAGGGAAGAGGACGTATGCAGTTTCCTGGATCACACCCTGTTTCTTTGAACAGGTTCAATCTTACTTTATGTGATATTTTGATATCTATTGCATTGACAATTATATGTAACTTCAGGATGGACTTGGCTATTTTACTGAGATGAACATCAGTTGTTTTTCTAATCTACCATGTCTAAAGAATTAATAGTACCTTAAGTTTGTGTTCTCTATTGTCACCCTGCTTTCAACGGTTTAATTGCAAATTTTCTTTAATTTTCATTGGAAAAGAGCATCTTGTGTTGTTGATAAATTTTGTTTAGCATCATATTTTTTCAGAAATTCTAAAGTAAATGGAATGAGTGGTATTTTTTTTAACTATTAACCTTATGTTTTAAATATTAACTATAAAATTTATTAAAATATTAACATTTATTCGATGTGATATATTCAATAGAATCTGATGGAGAAGAAGAATAACTAATAAAATCAGCAACATAACAGGATCTTTGTGATATATTAATTCCTACACTAGGATGTCGATGAAGAAGTCATGGTTTCATACTATATTGAACTTCTATTAATTTAACTTTGGGAGCAATTATTTGTCAAAACCTTTGTGACTAATTTCCATAGATTAACGCAATGAAAGTTCAAATTCCAGATTTCTTCCCTGTGTATATTTTAAGTTAGCTTCAGTCAATTAAATGAATTTCTGCATCTAGTGTCAAATTATTTCTGTTCCCTAATTTTATATTACTATGATTCTGAGAGTAAGTAACTCTTGTCTTCTTGATTTTTGTGTTAACACAGACTTTTTCTTTAGTCTATAAATATTTACAATTTTACACAAATCTTCTTTTGTATTTATAAAATATGCTACAATTAACTTCAAATTGATGTTTGGCCTAAGAGATTTGGCAATTGATTTGTCAAGTTAATGGATGTTCTGGGATCAAATGGCATTCCTTAATCCTATCCTTTTTAGTGTTATATGTTGTGAAAAAGGGAATAAAACATTCATTTGATGCAGTTGAGTTCCAGCCAAGGGAGTTATTTATTAAAATTTGATTGTAAATCATCATATTTAGTCATCTATTTTGGTGTAGTCAACTCACTTCAGATGATTGTTTTTTGTTCCAGGGACAATCTGCAACTCTTAAGACAACGATATTACTATGCCACATGGAAAGCTGATGGGACACGATATATGATGCTGATTACTGGCGATGGGTGTTATCTGATTGACAGGAAATTTCTTTTCCAAAAGATCAATATGCGATTTCCTTGTAGATATTCAAATGGGGTATGTATGTTTATTCAATTTACTTTTGTTGCCAAGTGGGTTTTATATTCTGGGGTATCAATAAGTTAAGTGTTTTGGCTTTTGTAAATTTATTTTAAATTATCTAATGGATAACTTAACGTTTTTCAATCATAATCATTTCAAGGGTACGCCTGAGAGGAATCACCACTACACATTACTTGATGGGGAGATGATTATTGACACGGATCCACATACACAGAAGCAAGACAGAAGATACCTTATTTATGATTTGATAGCGATCAATCAAGTGTCTTTGATAGAGGTACACATTTATTGACAACTGCAGTGCTTAGATATTGTTGACTTCTTGGTTGATTCGTCCTACACGTACTCGATTATAAGAAATAAAGGAATTTAAACTGGTTAACTCTTGTTTATGTTTGCTATTTCGAGTTGCTGTATTTAGTGGTCAACCAAAAACCAAATCATATTCCAATTAAGGTATTTTGTATTTGTCCGTTAATTTAAGTATCTCTTAACAATCCAGCATTAAAATGAGCACCTGTAAGCTTCTAGTTGGATTTGAAACCTCTGAATTGTGGGTTCTTTCCTTAGTAAGTTTGAAAATCCAGGATCTCAAGTAATCCATATTTTTCGATCTAGCTAGACATTGCAAATACTGAAAATAATTTGAAGCATCATCATCATAGCAGCAGTGTCTAGTTTGTAAATTTGTAGTTAATTACGGATACAGTAAGAATCAGAATATCAGACACTATTCAATATTTCTGGGGAGGGGGTCCAACTTCCAATTGAAGTCCTTGGTTTGATGTTCACACTTTTGCTTGGTTGACTTTTGACCTGACCATTTGGTCTAATGCACGCAGCTTCCGTTCTATGAAAGGTGGAAATTGCTGGAGAAAGAAGTAATTGAACCTCGGAACATGGAACGGGAGGGCCTTTCCAAGAGCATAAATCCTTATTACAGATATGACTTGGAACCATTCAGTGTATGTATAAAGATTATTTTTTTATTCTATTTTCTGAAACATCTTCCAGAGGGATCAACTATTTGTTTATATTTTTGTGTTTTTGTTTCAGGTGAGAAGGAAGGGTTTTTGGTTACTATCTACTGTGTCAAAGCTCCTTCATAAATTCATTCCACAACTCTCGCATTCATCAGATGGCCTTGTATTCCAGGTAATAATTAGTATCTCTAGAGGACTGAGCCTCCAAAGATGAGCTTGGTTGTAGAGGATAGTTGAATCAATGGACACATGGCTTGTGGTAGGTAACACCATGTCTTTGAGGATGATGTACTGTATTGATGCTTTACTAGGGAACAGTCCAAGTTTCTCAGTTCTTGTTTCGCTGTATTTGTGTCTATATTGAGTATTTAGAAATCTAAATACTGATGTTATATTTTGGTTTATAAAAAATTCTCACTGGCTGAGAACATGCAATCACAAATATGCATATATGCTGTCTGGTTTATCTACTCTGTCCGTTTTTAATATAGTTAGATTCTATCAGGGTTGGGATGATCCATATGTCCCTCGCACACATGAAGGTCTTCTGAAGTGGAAATACCCAGAGATGAACTCTGTTGATTTCCTCTATGAGGTTGTACAAGTACTTCTCAAGTTCAAAAATTCATTAGTTTATGTGGTGTTAAATTCCACTCTTGCATGACATTCCAATTATGTTGACGATGTCTTTGTTCATAGGTGGGAGCTGGTGATCGTCCCTTGCTTTTTCTATTTGAACGAGGAAGGAAGAAGTTAATGGACGAAAATGTTATTTTTAAAGGTTGTAGAACTTGTAGACTATCATTATTTTTTCATGCTATCATAATGTAATTAACGGCATTATTACTATTTTCATTATTATTTGTCCGGATGACAGCTAATTGCATGATTTACCCGACTTTGGCCACACTTGAATTGCGATTAGCAGTAATATATATATTCCATTTGCATTGGAATCTGTTTAAGCTATAACGTAATTCTCTAGTTGATTTAACTGAATACTTGAAAAAATCAAACCATAATTTGTTTCAACTTTTGGCTCCAAATGATTTTCAGATGCATCAGACATTTCTTCCTATTCCGGGAAGATCATTGAGTGCTACTGGGATTCCGCGGAACATCATTGGGTCTGTATGCGGATCAGAATAGACAAAGCAACTCCAAATGACATCAATACCTATAGAAAGGTTATATCTATTATACTTTTTTCATTCTATTGCGCTATCTTCTTTAAGTCGTCTATGTTTATGCTAACTAGCTCGTGTGAAAAGCCTGTTGAATAGTTCTGTAAATTTTTTAATACAGGTAATGCGAAGCATAAAGGATAATATCACAGAAGATGTCTTATTGAATGAGATCAATGAGATCATTAGCCTGCCATTGTATGCAGACAGAATACATAGGGATATCAAGGCTCACCATCATATGGTCTCTTCACGGCGCAAGTGAGTTATAATAAAAGCTATCCATGTCGAATGTCGTGTGTTTATTGAAGAGCGAGACCGACTTCTGAATGAAGTTCCAGCAGAAAAGCTGTACAGTTTTGTTGCCAAGAGATTGTATTTTTGCTACGCCATTGTCAGCCTCATGCATCTCGTAGGAAAGAAGTTTAGGTTCTTTGGTTTTGTTTGGCTAACTAGATTTTGGTCGATGTTGTATATTAGCAATTTTGCCCATTATTTCCTTTATTTTATTTCCTTTTTAACAGCATATAACAAGTTCACAAAATCATATTGTGAGAAGATCAACACAAACGGCTTTGATAGGATACAATAATTCATGATTTTCGCAAGTTTATACCATTTTCTTTTTCAAGAAACTTCAGTATTATGATACTGTTTGGACACTTTTCTCTCTATAATTCTATAATGAGAAGAAAATAAAAAAATTAAAATGAAGATGGATCAACTTATGTGTTTTAATTTTATAAAAATTTTCATGTAATTTTTTTTCAAAAATTCAGTTGTATAAGTTAATTTTAACTTGTAAGATTTTTGTTATAACTATTTATAAAGATTTTTTTTTAATTACAGCTTATTTTATTAATATTTTAAATATTTTTTATACTTAACAGACGGGCAGCTCTGGGATAGCTGTCTCTAGTTCTAGTTTTTACTTTGTTGGGATCAGTGAAAAGTAAAGTAGTAGTGTAATGCTTAATGTCTTTATTCACTTTGTTGTCTTAAGTGTGTTAAACATTTTTTTAATTATATAAACTTATTTTTCGTCTCTAAAACTAGACAAGAACTAAAAAGAATAAAGTTAAATAATATGTATAGAAATTAAAATAATTTTTTTAACTATAAAGATAACAAAGTAAAATTTATAAAATTATGAATTCAAAAGAGTAATTAAACTTATATGTTACTATAAATTATAAAATAAGTAAAGTCATCTAGAGCATCATCTAACAGAAAAGAAAAAGCCCTAAAGACTGGGGGCTGAATCTAACATTGTCCAAGTAACTTATTTGTACATGACTACATGTATTTGCTTACGGTGTTTGGTAAAGAGGAAAAAAATTGGAGAAAAAAAGAGAAGTATGAAAAATAGAATAAAAATAAAAGTTATATAATAACAGGGAAATAGAGTGAAAATTGATTATTTTTATAGATAATTTTGTTTAAAATTAAATAAATTATTATTATTATTTAAATAAATAAAAAATATTTTTTTATAAATAATTTTATTTAAACATAATAAGTATTTTTATTAATTTTATTTAAACATAATAAATATTTTT